CCCCAATCCCGGCAGAACATTATAAGATAGTATTTCAATCAATATAAATCAATTCAACAATAGACAGTGAAACAAATAGAAAACAATCACCCGACTCTATAGGCATTGCAAACAAAAAAAGAGGAAAAAATAAACAAGTGAAATATATGAAATGAAAAGTTTGAATTCCAAGTAAAAATATGCATTCACACTCTGATAAAAATAGACATGAAATGTCGTTCACACGACGTGCAATAATCGTAACTGAAATCATACATGGAAAATGTAATGTACATGAAAAGTCGTGAAGAACTAGTCATTGAAATCGCACATGAAAAATGTAACATAATACAATGTGTCCCACTACCACGCCACTAATGTCACACTACCATATGCTTAATAATAGAAAAAACAGTAATTTACAAGTCGTGTCGACGGTGGCGGGAATCTTTACTAAGACCAACGTTGAAATACTGTATAGAAGCCCTACTCACACTACAATAATACACATAAAAAAAGAAGAAAACAACAACAACTACATCACACACACTATACGTGACCACCTTACAATACTAAGACAACATAACACGACCAAGAACCCTGGACTGCAGAATGTGACGAGGTTGCGTGCAGGTGCGGGAAAACGAAATTTTTGATCCCTCTTCCCCTTCCTGCTCTACCTGCTCGTACCCCCTCAACTATCGGATGTCCGTCTCCTCTTCCCTCGTGTGGATGAAGACGTATGCGCAACACGTCTCGAAGCACACGTCGGTGGGGGGCGTGGGGGCTCATCCTCGTCATCGTCCTCGTCATCACCGTCGTCGCTCTCACTCTCCTCTTCCTCACCCTCATAGTCCTCATCATCCTCCCTCGCTGGCAGTGTCGTCTCAGGATCATCCTCCCCGATGGTGACCGGGTTGCTTCCCTTGATCAACACAACAACCCTTGCACTAGCCTCTGCGACCGTCTGCTGACGGCGGGATCCACGAGGCATCCCCAAACCCTCCGCCCCCGAAGACTCTCTAAGTGCAGCGCCTCCCTGTGCAGGCACGGGGCGTGGACGAGGCACTCCACTCTTGCGTGGGGTCTGCTCATGTACAACACATGTTGCTGCTCTCAAAGCATCATCCAAGGTCTTTGTAGACACTCCTCCACCTCGACCTCGCTGTGGCTCACAGCCTGAAGCTGAAACCTCACTCGCTCAAGTCCTCCTGGTGCCCCGAATTCCCAGACCCAGCTGAAGGCGTGGCGTGAGCTCAGTGACATGGCGGGTGGAATCCAAATCTACGCCCGTGCTTCCAAATAACGTCGTGTCGCACACATCTTGCTGAACCGTTGTCGTGTCATAAATCCTCGATCGCCCGGGTGTGTGAGGGGATCGAGAGCCTGGGCCTGTCAGCGACGACGATGGATCACCCACACGTGGTCTAGGAGGAGGGGGTGGCATGTCTCCCGCACATGGCACTCTTTCCTGCATACCCCCATCAGCCCTAGGAACATCTGCCCTGCTGCGTCCTCCGGTGGAGGTGGACCAGAACCACATTGGCGACGCAGGGGCCCATGGAACGGAAGGGATCACCTGCCACCGTGGATGGGTGAGTTTCTGGTCAAATATCTGCCGGTCCAATCGAGTAACATCGAGAACAACGGCCACCGCCAACTCCTCTGCATCCAATGGACGATGAACCTCCTGCGGAGCCGGTCGTCTAGGATGTGGACGCACAACCAACGGCTCGGACCCCAAGTCCGTGATAACAACAGGTGGCACATCATGCACTGCCACCTCCGTCGGCTGTGACCGTCAAGCCTCGGCCAACTGCAGGCCCGAGAACGGGACAACCTGACTCGACGGTATGTCATGAACTATTGCCCGTGAGTCGCCCACCCCCCTGTCTCGCCCCTGTCCAGCCTCCACAGCCTCGTCGACCGTCTGTAGCCCGCCAACCACAACCTCAACCACTGTCTATTGCCCACCCTCCACAGCCTCATCTACCGCCTCTGCTGCCACCGCCCCTGTAACGTCCGTCCGGACCGCCCCTGCCACCACCCCATCCTGCCCACCATCTCTCCCTGTTTCTCGACGCCTGCGCTCCTCCAACGCCCGTTTGAACGCCTTAGCACGCGGGTCGCTGGATGCCATAAGTCGAGCCCTCTCTCGCTCCATGGTGTCGCGTGCCGCATCTGGAGACTCCGCCTCCATCCTCTCTCTCGACGTCCACGAACCCCTCTCGCCTGCCGCCTCGTCCATCGAAGGTGCTCGACCAGTCGATGCTGCCCTGCCACAACTACGGGAAGTGCCCATCGACAGGTCAAAGTCGAAGTGGGTCTCCATCTCCGAACCCGCACACCCTGTGGGAGGAGACATCCCCAGCCCCCTCGCAACACCTGGGGTAAAACCGCGCACCACTGGATCGACCTCCTCCGTAATAAACTGTTGCACGAGGTGCTCCTTGGCGTCCACACCATCCAGCTCCTCTCCCACCACAACAATTCCAGCTTGCACCTCCTCCTCCCCCATTGCCACTGCTTGGACCTCCTCCTCCGCTACCGCTACCTCCACGTCCACCGCCGGTGTTGCTGTCTCCTCCACCTCCGCTACGGCTGGCCCCCCCATGTCCGTCGGAGTGGCACGGTGCCCAACCTCCTCCTGCAAACCCCCTGGGGAAGGTGATCGTAACCTCAACCGGCGATTCGCCATAGATCTGTGCAGAAGACCGTGTTGAGGCAAGGAGGATGCCAACTTTTGTGTCTCCACCTCTGTTGCGGGTGGCTGAAGTCGCGAAACAGGCGATGGTGATACAAGACTCGGAGCTGGAAGTGGCGCAAGACTCGGAGCAAGAGGTGGCGCATGACTCGAAGTAGTACGTGGCGGAGGACTTGGAGCAAGAGCTGGCGGAGAACTCGAAGGAGGAGGTGGCGTCGGACTCCGCGCAGGAGGTGGCGGAGGACTCGAAGCACGAGGTGGTGCCGAACTCGGAGCAGGAGGTGGGGGAATGGACGACTAAGGCCTCGTCGTGCTAGGAGTCGTGATCCCCGCCTCTGCGAGGCTACTGCGTGCATGAGATCCCCCGACTCTCTCATCGCGCACATCATCTGTGGAAGCCACCTCCCCGAAACGGCCCCAACGATCCTCGTCTCCCCCCATCATCTCCATCTCATCAAAGTCCGCCCCCCGTCATGAGGTGTATGTCCTCGTCTCTGCGTCCTTGGCATCCTCGTGCGTCTTGTCGATCTCACGAGGAATGGGGAGCGCAGGGTCATCTGATGCCTCGGGTATCCGCTCGTCATCAGAGTCATCGTCCTTGGGGTACGGCCGGATAATGCAAGCACGTCGCTCAAAAACAGCAGTGGCCGGGGGCGGTGCGGAAGCACCGATGGGATTGCGCGTAATAAGCGTGACCTGCTAGGCAATCTCCTCCTGCGTCATCCTCTTGCTCGTACCCGTGCACACCGGCTCCAGCTCAATGCCTGCCTGGTAGTCGAGCATGCCCTCGTCCTACTGCCATGGTAGCACATAACCGCATCCTGCCCGCCAATAATCCTTCAACCGCACATTTGCGGTGATCTCAACGAGCTGCACGACCTTCTCGAAGGCCAACTGGTTGCACTTCTTCGTGTGGATGCCCTCGTGGACCGCCCAGTTCCTCGCCGTCGGAGAGGCGCAGGACCACATGTGCATCACACGAAGAGCGCACCACTGCAACTCAGGCGCGCCAGCCACATACTAGGACCACCAAGACGCACACTCGATCGTCTCGGCGTCACCGCTATACACGCGCCCACGAGCACGCCCCTCCGCCCCGCCCCAATCGCCAAACCTGCCCTGCTGCACGTGGAAGTCCTCAAACTGACGACAGACAACGATGTAATCCACACCGTCTAACTCGAAACCCGTCTGCTTCAGAATGTACTTCTTGGCTTGCCTCACAAGCCAAGCATGGTAAGCCTCCACCTCACCAGAAAAGTAACGAACATGTCGCCTGCGCGGGTTCAGTAAAAACCCAGAACAGTGAGCCGGCCCAAGCATGTGATGTGTGCGGGCCTGCACACACCTAATGATCCGGTCCGCGAAGGACTGACCCAAAGGAGCACATGCGTCTTTCACACGGTGGACAAGATCTTGTGCCCACTCAACCATGAGCGACATGAACTGGCACTCCACGATCTATCCGCCTAAGCAGCTGCATAACGGGCTCCACAATATAGACGATGGTGGGAACCCCTTGCCACCAAGGATCCCATCTAACCTGTTGGCGCACCCGATATACCATCTGGCACACATCGGCAGACCACGAGATGGAAGCAAAAGCCCACGAGTCGTCCCCTCGCATCATGCCCTGCAAAGTGTCCAGTATGGAGAGAAGGTTAACAACAGTCGTATTTTTCATCACCACTTCAGGACACCCGTCACCACTTCAGGATGCAGCCTGCCTAAACAGGTGGTTTTCAGGGTCTTCGGACCTTTCACCACTTCAGGACCATTCAAATCTGAAAATCCTGAATGGTCCTGAAGTGGTGAAAGCTGCGAAGACCCTGAAAACCACCTGTTTAGGCAGGCTGCATCCTCAAGTGGTGAAGGGTGGTTTTCATGGTCTTCGGACCTTTCACTTGACCACTTCAGGACACCTTTCACCACTTAAGGATGCAGTCTGCCTAAACAGGTGGTTTTCAGGGTCTTCGGACCTTTCATCACTTCAGGACCATTCGGGATTTTCAGACTGCCCAAAACTCTCACTTCAGAATTTTCATTCCTGAATTTTCACCTACCCGATAACCACTTGTGCAACAATTTGTTGTAGACATGGACGGAGCACGGGAGCCAAGTGATCCTCCTCAATGCAAGAGGCATGGTCGACGAGGCCAACGCCCTTGCAACCCCCACGTACACTGAAGCGAAGTCAGTGCAAATCGCATTGACCCTCTGCGGCCCACCGAACCTGAACTCGTGGAACATGGTGACCCATCTCCGAAGGACGTGCACTACATCGTCCAGCTCCCCCTCTCGATTGATCGTCATGTACATGATGATCCCTTGCTAGCCTACGGCGAGAAAATTCACGATCGGTCTCTCGTCTCGTGATTTCCTCCCGTTAGAAAGGATGGTGGCACCAGTCACCCTGAATGGTTGCCTCACCTCCTCGAACTCCGCCAACTCCGCACGGTGGGTCTCCACCGCCTGCATGCTGGCAATCTCGTTGTGGCTAGGGAGCACAGCGCGCGACGAACGGCCAGGCTGCTCAAGGAGCACCTGTTGATATGCCTTCCATGCCCCGTTGCGGAAGGCATTGAAGGCCACCCCGTTGGAATAAAGGCAGCAGAGGAAGACCTTCTTGTGGCCTTCAAGCGTAGGTAGCAGCCGGATAAACTTCTACTTCCTTCCTCTTTGAAGGACCATCCTCCCTCAGACCAGTCGGTGCAGGCACCGCTCCCTTGGCTGCTCACCGCAGCCAGTCCACCATCCTCTCCCCAGTGGCTGGATGTAACTCTGGTGCGTCCTCCTATCCCGGGAAGATCGACATGGATCATGTCCTCCTCCATGTCCGCGCCTTCACCCCCCGATGGGCGGTCGGACGCACCCTGGCCACCATCTCCCCCGCCCCCTCCCTCCTCTCCCCTGGCACCACCGGCCTGGAGTGCATCGAGTCCACGCTCTGCGGCGTACCTAGCAACCCTGTCCATCTTGAACCTCTGTTAAGTCCGTCATGCGATCTCGTACAGTGCCTTGTCGCTGACGCACTTGCAGTAGTTCGTCTGGCTGAAATGTCTCGAGGTCTGGTACCGAGTCCCCAGGAACACTTTGTTGCAGAATGTGCAACATAGCACCATGACCCCCTTATCATCGGCCTTCTTCTGGCCGACGACAAGGTACCGATATACAGGGGAGTGACCCTTGAATGTCTCCTGCACATGTTCCGGAGCGGCCTCGTGTTGCCGCCACTGCGCCCTTCCCATGACGACTGTCCTTTTTCACGCTCCGAAGCGTCGACCCAGAGTCCTGCCTACGACGCCTCACAGACCCGCACGAAAAGCGTCGCACAGTGGCCCAACTATGGCCCGCCCCAACCACAGAGTCGCGCAAACACCCACCGACGGCCGCCCACCCCCCATGGACCCTCCCCAATGCCGTCGCCCCCTCGCCGCACACCGTCGAACGACCCCAGGCCACCACGTTGAATCCCGTTTAATGACGTTCAACCGCGTTGAAAGTCGTCCAATCTTGTTCAATCGCGTTCAACGCCATGGCATTAAAAATTCAACGGCGTCGTTCATGAACGCCGTTGGCGACGTGCACCATCCCTTGTCCGCGTCGCTACCGTCGGGCCGCCCTCTCTGTCGTCGTCCTCGTCGTCGTCGTCGGTCCTTCTCTCTTAGCCATCGTCATCGTCGTTGTCTCTCTTTCTCTCTCTCTTTATATATATATATATATAGAGAGAGAGAGAGAGAGAGACGACGGCGACGACCGATGCATATATATATATATATATGTCGTCGTCGTCCTCTCTCTCTCTCTCTCTTTCTCTCTCTCTCTCTCTCTCTCTCTCTCTCTCTCTCTCTCTCTCTCTCTCTCTCTCTC